GCCTGAATCTGGAGGCTTTTGCGGAGATGTGCAGAAATGGTGCTGAGTCTCCTGAAACACGTCCAGATTCAGGCATTGAGGTAGCTCAAGGCTGCTAGTGGGACTTGGCCCCCGGGACCATGTCCCGCTTGCACCGTTTAGTTGAGGCAACTCAACCGTGTGGCAGCTGAAACTCACCGTGGCCGAGGTCCCACTAGCAAAGAGGATCGGATCCAAAGCCTGAATCTGGATGTGTTTTATGCAGAGATGCAGAAAAGCAGTTCAATCTCGATTTCCTGCACCTCTCCACATACACGTCCAGATGCAGGCATTCGATACGATCCTTTTTGCTAATGGGACCACGGCGCTGTTTTTAGTATTTTAGTAATTTGTGGTGCGGTCTGTTCGTTTTCGCTTTTTCTTTTTTGTTTTGTTTTGTTGTTGTTTTTTTGTATTTTTTTTTTGCTTTTTTGGATTTGTCGGGATCGTGGTCACAGCCTACGAACCGGGGCCAAGTCCCACTACAATAGCAGGGTTGAGTTTCAACCCTCAACCCTCAACGCCTGAATGTGAACGTATTTGTGGAGATGTGTGGTTGCAGAAACTAAAAGGTGATCTTTCTGCACATCTCCACAAACACGTCCAGATTCGGAAGTTGAGGAAACTCAACGCTGCTGAAGGACGACCGAATATGAGGCTGCCACACAGGCTGTCGAAAACCAGGTTTTCGACAATTTGCATCGCGGGCGAGGTCCCAGTAGCAAAGAGGATTGGATTGAACACCTGAATCTGGACATGTTTCTGGAATAGTGCAGAAAATCGAGATCTAACTGCTTTTCTGCATCTCCGCTTAAAACACGTCCAGATTCGGGCATTCAGTCCAATCCTCTTTGCTAGTGGGACCTCGCCTCCGGGCACAGACTTTTTTTTTTTTTTTTTTCCCGGGAGAAGGTAGAGGATCCTTTATTCAAGCAAGGTAACCAACTTTGAGGCCGGGAATCCTCAACAAACAACCCGGGACCTTGTCCCACTTGCACCGTTTAGTTGAGGCAGCTCAACGGTGTGACAGCTAAAAAAAAATCATTTTAATTCAATTTCAAATGAGAAATGCATTTATAAATGGCAGGAATACAATTGTTCTCGTTTTTCATTTTTCACAATTGGACTGGCATACCGGCACTTCCACAGCAAAAAATGAAGAGGTGCCCGAATCCCGTCCAAAAATGGCAAACGGAAGGAGGCTCATACAGTTTCTCTTGAAAAACGCCTGTTGGGGGAACAAGAGGGTCGTTGAACTAGCTGTCTCGAAAGAGCCTTGCTCAGCTCAGTGCTGCGGCAACTTTTTGTAAGCGACACCGGGCGGTTTCCCGGCTTTGACATTAATAAACAGTGATCTTTCTTTCAAAAAAAAAAAAAAAAAAAAAGAGGGTCGTTGAACTAGCTGTCTCGAAAAAAGGAGACAGCTAGTTCAACAGAAAGTGGCGGGGGTAGGGGTAGTAGTCTTCGAGAGAAAGGATTTATTTCTGTTTTTTGTTAAAAGAAAAAGCGAAGATGGTCTCTATTGCCCTTTTTATTAAAAATGGACCGTTAGATGAATTGGACGACGTGCATCTCCCTTGTCGCGTACAGTCACACAGGCTCGAAAACCCCACGTTGACCTAGCTCAACGAAGCTAGTGGGACAAGGTCCCTGGAGGGTAACCATGTCACCTGACCTGGTCCAACTTCAATTTCTTTTTTTTTTTTTTGCTTTAGTTTTTGAATCTGTGGGTTGATAGATACAAGTATGGGAAACCGGATAATGCCTCCGGTACGGGTGACTGTTACTCCGGGTAGACTGTGGGGACCCCGGCCCCGAAGTGCGATTCCAATGGTTTTCTGGTATTATAAGGGACGCTGGGCCCGGTTCCCAGCTTGTGCTGCTCCCCACAAATAGATGGGAGCCATGTTTTATGGGGAAAAAATATATATATATATGTGGGTTCTGGTAACTGCTTGCTGCCAGGCATCAGTTGCTGAAACCAAACAAATTATAATGAGCCCGCCGCTCTACTCTTCTAAATGCTATCATTCTAAATGCACTTGTTGCTGGCCGACTCTTAGGCCTGCTGGGCGACCCCCCCCTCTGACACTCAACCTCTAACCCCAAAATAGCCTTAAAGCTCAGCCTGAGAAGAACCTTCTGCCTGCCTCCTATGGCTACATAACCGAGTGTCCTGGTTTTGCCATCTACATTTTTGAAGAATAGCGGCTCAAAAGTATTTTGACAGGTTTGACAGGTGTCAGACTGGTACGATGGACAGCCACCCTCCCCCATTCGTTTGGTCCCGCCTGCCTGAATTCTTGTATATCAAAAAAAAAAAAAAAAAAAATCTTGTATATCAAGACCCTCTGTGAGCGGTATGGGATGACTGAAGTGACGGTTTGCCATACTGAAGCGTGCACATTCTTGTATTCTGCAAATTTCTGCGTAAAAAATGATTCTGCGGAAAAAATGAAGTACTCGATGGGGTTGCAGTAATGGGGAAAAAAAAGGAGGTCAATACGAACCCCTTCAAGTACTTGAGCTTTCGTTTCTTGTTTGATTGCGGCCAATCGAAATGAGGGGCTCTTTAGACACTCCTCCTCGGGTGCGTAAAGTCCCCGAGGAATTGTTCGTTCCACCTATCCTCGTGTTAGAGAGTCCTCGGGCGCGTTAAGTCCCCGAGATCCTCGTGTTAGAGACTCCTTGGGCGCGTAACGCCCCCGAGGAATTGATCGTTCCACCTATCCTCGGGGATGCAGTCGGAAAATGAAAGTGAAAACACCCGGAAGGAAATTCCTTGGGCTCGGAGGATTCCCCAGCCATTTCTTCCTTTTGGCCAAGGGACCTCACCAGGTCCCTTGGGCAAAAGGAATCCGCGTTTCACGGAGAGGAGAGGGCACATGGGTAGAGAGACATTACAACCAAGAATCTGGATCGTGGCGGCACCCTATTGGCTGAAGGCCTGAAGCACATTTGATTTTTTTTCTTTTCTTTTTTCTTTTCTGACATAGGTCGAAGGAAATGTCCTCGGGCGACGTCTCTGGGGACAGGTGGAACGAACGGCCCAAATTTCCTTTTGAACCAAAAGGAATTTTCCCTTTTGCCCGAGGATTTCAATAGGAGTGTCTAACGAGCCCCTTAGGCTTGGACCCCACAGGTTTCCACCTTGGAAAAACTTTGCCGCGGAAAGTTTTCCGGTACCCCACAGGCTTGCGCAAAGTCCGTGGAAGGCCGTTTTCGTTTTCCAAAAGCCTGCTTCCGGAACCCCACACACCCGGAAACGCGGCCTCGGAAATGCCCCCTGTCGTGTTTCACTCGGTTTCCGACCTGGAAACCACCGCGGGAGGAAAAGTCGCCGCGATTTTGTGCAGGGTAGCGAGGGCACGGTGAAGGGTAGCCTTCAACCTTTCCAAGGTCGCGGACAAAATGTGGACCTCCATGTGTCCGTTCGCCATTCCGACGAGTGGGAATGCCACCCAACGTGTCGCCCCTTGGTCCTGCTTGGTCCTGCCCCAGACACCCGGACACCGCCCGACTTTCCTTTTCGGGTCCACCGCACGCTACGTTTCCCGAAAAGGAAAATTCGGCGCCCGCTTTGCCGCGAAATGCACACCGCTGTGGGGTCCCGGAAAAAGCATTTCCAAGGTTTCCGAAATCGTTCGCCCGTTTTCCAAGGGAAAACTGCTTTTCCAGGCGGAAACCTGTGGGGTTCCGAAGTCTTTCTGTTTCTTTTTCCGCCTCCCATTCTTCGCAAATAAAAAGAAAAAGAACAAAAAGAAAATAAAAACACAACTTCGAAATATAAATCCATCGTGGTTTTGCTGCCATCCAATTTTCCTGCAACATCGGTCGGGCGATTTCCCCAAGTTGTCTCACAGGTGTTTTGTGCGGACGTTTTACACTACTCGTCTGCTAGTGGAACCCTGCGCCGGTAGTTTCAAGGAAAGAAAGATTTATTTCCTTTTCTTGTTTTTTTCAATATTGGAAACCAGAGTAAAATCCCTTTTTCTCAAATAGAACGCCCCCTACCCAGCACCCTTCCGTTGAGCTAACTCTCATTTTTTTCTCTTGGTAGCCACCTCAACGATGATTTCTCACGGAAGGACAACTTTTATTGACATAATGAGCCTGGCTTCTGATGTATCATAGTACCGTACTGTCCGAAGCCCGATTCTGCAAAAGGAGCAACGAGGCGGTCGTCCAGCCAACAGGTAGTACTTTCACACGAGTTGTTGAATTCGGCCACGCTTAGTGGATAGGTGCATTCAAGAGGAAGTTCTTTTCCTCATGATGTCCTATTTTCCTGATTGTGACCCTCCTGTGTCGTCATGTGTGCGTGAATTCGGGCACTGGGCATGAGGAGAAGAACGAAGAAAAATGAAATAGGCTTGGACCCCACAGGTTTCCTTCTGGAAAAGCAGTTTTCCCTTGGAAAACGGGCGAACGATTTCGGAAACCTTGGAAATGTTTTTTCCGGGACCCCACAGCGGTGTGCATTTCGCGGCAAAGCGGGCGCCGAATTTTCCATTTCGGGAAACGTAGCGTGCGGTGTACCCGAAAAGGAAAGTCGGGCGGTGTCCGGGTGTCTGGGGCGGGTCCAAGCAGGACCAAGGGGCGACGCATTGGGTGGCATTGAGTGACGCGGTGCCCCCTCCGTGCGACATCCACACGCGGTTTTGGAGTGGCCGGGGTCGGGAAACCGGGCCCGTTCCGTCGGACCCTTCCTCGCACCGTTGTTGCCGTTAGCCTGCCCGCAACGGCGGGTTTGTTTTCAAATTTCGTTCCTGTCTGTCCTTGTCGCATGTCCGCGGTGATGCCTGTGTCCGTTTGCACACGGGTGACGCAGTGTGCGCTACGCAGACAAAAGGGAGGGGCGAGGACAGCCATCGTCAGTGCTCTGCGAAACCCTGTGCCCCCCCCCCAAAACCCCCTCCCCCCCCCTGGAGTGAGTGGCACGTCACACGTCGTGCGCTTACACTTTCGCGGCCAACGGCGTCGGCAATCCATCACACGCGCACGCACGGCATGGACACGGAAATGGACGACTGGGATGACTCCACATTCCTCCTGGTTTTCATCCTTTTGCAGTGGATGAACCATAGGAACGTTGTGGCGATGGCCGTCGTCCAAGCGGCGTCTGCGGTTCCCACGTCGGTGCCAGGCATGTCCGATGCTCTTCTCCTGCTGGGTGGCGCGGTGATGCACGGCATGTCGTTGACGTCCGCGGTTGCGGCGATGGCAGGTCGACGTATGGATGAGAGACGACGCGTTTGGGTTTTGCAACGCAGCGGCGGTGTATGGGAGGATCTCCAACGACTAGGCGGTCGGCACGAGAAGCTGTTTGAGCGATTCTGCAGACTCCCCCGACCGTTGTTTTACGAGGTGCTAGCTCGCATCACTCCTCATATCCAGAGGCAGGAGACGAATTGGAGACAGCCTCTACCGGCAGCTCAGAAATTCGCTTGCGCGCTCATGCGATGGGCGACAGGAGGGTTCTACAGGCAATCGGCACACTCACTAGGTATGAGACTTGCAAGTGGCCTGCGTAGCAATGAGGATGTCGCTGATGCTCTCATCAATGAGTACGGCCACCTGCTTCAATTCCCGACTGGCCAAAGGCTTCAAGACACAATTGACGCTTTCGAACGCAAAGGGTTCCCCGGTTGTGTCGGGGCAATCGATTGCACCCACGTTTACATAGAGAAGCCAAGGAACAGGAGGGGAGAGTGTTATTACGATCGGACAGGCCAATTTTCGGTGGTCGCGCAAGTGGTTTGCGACCACGAATGCCGTATCACTAGTGCATACGTTGGCAGTCCCGGATCAGTTCATGACAGTCGCGTGCTACGAGTCTCCCCTATCTATCGACAAGCACAAGGGGGGACGGGTGTGTTCGCGACTGGGAGTGAAGTCCTGCGCGACGGACGGAGGGTGGGCAGGTACTTCCTTGGTGACGCTGGTTACCCGCAGCTGCCATGGTTGATGACACCGATTGGAGGGAACAACAGGACGCCAGCGGAGCGAGTTTATGACGACTGTCACACGTCAGCGAGGTCTTGCATCGAGCGCACGTTCGGCCGCCTGAAGAAGGTGTGGAGAAATTTCATGCGGCGACATATCGCGAACATGAAAACTCTTTGTAAGGAGTTCATGGCCATTTGCATACTCCACAACATCATGGTGGAGTCGAAGGTGGAGATCGATCCGGAGATGTTGTCTGATGATAGCTCCAGTGACGAATGTGATGGTCAGACGACGGCACGCCGCAGACGGCGTGGCACACGAAGACGGTCTTGTGGTCCTCCACCACCTCCAGAGGAAGACGCTGCGTGCGCCATGGCCTTGGGGAAGGAGTTGAGGGAGAGCCTCATTGGCCATGTTGCGCACCACGCGCGGTCCACGGCCGAACCCGTGGCAGCGTTGATGTTCTTCGTGTGTTTCATGTTTTCGAACAATGGAAAACGCGACTATTGACAGGACTTGATTTCGCAAATGACTTTAATCTCTCTCTCTCTCTCTCTCTCTCTCTCTCTCTCAATCTCAATCTCTCTTTGTGTTTTTGACCGATAACTTCAATCTGTCACTCGAAGTCGGTGTGATGAATGACCCATCAACGAAGTTATAATGTGCTTCATATGTTGATTGATGTGTGAATGCATGATCAACTGATTCGTTCGTTGATTGCTTATGTGTGTGTTTGCTTGATTAATGGAGTGGTGGTTCATTCCCAAATTCCGAGAAGTTGCAATGATGGTTTTTCCATCCTTCGCTTGAAACATAAAACAAAGACTGCTGATGATCAGACACATCCCTTCGGAGATGCGAATCCGCCCTCGACACAAGCCGTTCTATCCCCGTGGTCTTCGAGTCCAATCCAGTTTCTTCTTATCGCCGGAAAGCGCTGATGATGAGTGCGCACACGCACACACACACACACACACACACACACACACACACGTGTGTGTGTGTGTGTGTGTCACGGTGTGTGCGCTCATCATCAGCGCGTCAGCAACATCTGGAGTCCATATCACCCAAAGTGAACTCCAGCCACCATTCTTCTGTTGTTTTCGTTGTTGCAATTCCCCATCCAGCATGCGTTCCCCAAAGGTAACGGAAAAAAAAAAAAAAAAAAAAAAAAAAAAAAAAAAAAAAAAAAAAAAAAAAAAAAAAAAAAAAAAAAAAAAAAAAAAAAAAGATAAACAACAGCAAAAACATACAATGATTGAATGCGTTCACGACGAGCAAAATAAAAAACCTGAAACACAATGACACAAACATACAACGAGCCATGGAATTGCAAGGCAAGCTTCGTTTTCATCTTCGTACGAAAGACAAATCGGGATTCCGTTTCGTTTGAGAACAATCCAGGATTAGGGAAGGAGCACAATAGAAGAAATCCGGCAGCAGTTCTAAAGCCGCCCGCGTGGGAGAGCAAAAAAAAAAAAAAAAAACAAGACCGACACTATTTCCATCACATCCAGGCAACCGATGGAACACTCGTTTTACACAGCACGGCTGCCGACCGACCGCCACGTGGCACTTCCGCCGTGTCGCAAATCCTAAACAATTTCGAACCCCGACGTCTAACCCCCCCCCCCGCCACGTGGC